GGGGGGGTGTGTTGGGGGGGTCAGTTTGGAAAAGCTGGTATCTGTCACCTCCTTCATAATAATTCACCCAAAAATGTAATTTTTTCCCCCATCTCATTCAAGTGGTTTGAATGCTGTCTTGCTTTATTTTGATGATGAAGAAGATGCTTTGCAAAAAAGTTGTACTTTTTAAATGAATGGATGCAGAAATACAATAAATAAATAAAAACATTGGTAAAAACACCTTTCCAATACGTCTCATTAGTTAATGTTAATTAATGCATTAACTAACAATTAGCAATACATTCGTTACAGTATTTATTAATCTTTGTTAATGTTAGTTTTGTAACAATAAATGTAATGATTTTAATAATGTATTAGTAAAATTTGAAATTAATATTGACAGATTAACACATGCTTTAGAAGTTTTTTTTTTTTTTTTTTTTTACTGTTAGTTCATGCTAACTAACACATTAATTAACATGAGCTAATGGTGAAAAATACTTCTAAAGCATTTTTTTTAATCTTTGTCTAGTGGAGCCTTACTGTAAAGTGATACCAAACAGTCTAAAATAATGTATGCTATATTCCGAGCTGAATATGTCCTTCGTCATAGTTTGAAATTACATGAGGACAGAATTTCCATTTTTGCAAGACCGATTCCTTTTACTGTAACAGAGCAATAACTGAATGGCTGATTAATACCAAAATCTATGTATCATTTAGCAAACTGACCAATAATTGATATTGTTTAAACCTGGAACATCAAATAGCCTAATACACATTTCACTACAGGTGCACTGTGCAATTTGTTGATGCTTAAATACTGTCTCCTATACCAGCTTCATATGCATAAGCCATTCTTATGTTGATTTCTCCAAAAAGAGTAAACACTGTGGTTCTGTGGTATGGGGTGCCAGTTGCAACCAGACTAATGATCCCATTTCTTGCACACAACAGTGAATGTACTTTTCATAAAAAAAAAAAAATGCATCCAGCATGTCACAAAATGTGTTTTATTTATGGAACACTCATTTAGTGGAGGATTTTTTTTTGTGATTACATTGCACACTGCTGGTGGTCCATAAATTACACTCTTCACCATAAATACTGGACATCACAAGGTCTTTTACAGCAAATAGTTTCTAAAGCAGATTACTTGACAGGGACTTTGAAAAAAATTATTTGATGTGCTTTCAGGTCATTATGACTCAATGTAATCCCCTCTATCCACATTATTAAATTATTTCTTCATAATAAGTCAGGCGAAAAATCAAGGAATGAAATATCTCTTCAACTTTTAATAACCCTGGACTTAAGTGCACCTTCTGCCTTATTGAAAAGGATTTAAAGGAAGTTTAATTTTATTCCCCCCATCACCACCACCACCACCCCCGCCATTTCTTTCAGAATTGGAATGTAATGTCGGGCGTCTACACAGCCAGTGAAGTAGAACCGAGCATTAGAAGCCTTGATTTGCTGATCCTTTAAAGTGTTGCGGTAGTGTCTGAATCCTGTTAATGCACCCTCACTGAGCACCTCTCTCCCAAGATATTTTTTGCTTGAATTGCCATGGAGATCCCTGCACTTTTGTCCATTAGGCACAGCATCATTAAAAAAAGAGAGCTGTCACTTGAGTGTTTTACACCTGCACCCTCATAGATCACCACTGCTGTATAAGCTGAACAGATGAGAGGTGGATTGAGATCCACTCCAGCCATAAGCAGTGGCACTAAATAGTCTAGTGACTAAATAGTCACTCTGGCAGACCGACCCCTCACTATCATCCTCTCAATCACTTCTTTCTGTTGCTGGCTTTGTTATTTAAGTCCTTTTGACTCTCCATAGCAGGCCTGTGGTCATTATAAATGAAGAAAAGAATGAGGATTGAGGCTGAAACCAATACCCAATTAATGTTGTCTATAATACCAGTCAACCAGTCTTTAATGAACAGTTTGTTAATTAGTTCTATTGACTTCAGAGCTGGGTCATTCTCAGGAAACATCGCTAATAGTGTCTGTTAATTTCAGCAAGGTGGCCTAATATGCTATTAGGAATATATGTGTTGACGACTTGGAAATTGTGCATAAAAGCCCACCCTTATTATAATTATAACTGGATTTTTTTTTTTTGATACTTGAGTTAGGATGACAAACAATAGATTAGCGAAATTTTCAGTAGTGAATGGTAGGTTCATGAATTCTTCGCAATGCTATTTTAGCTGTCGCAGTTATCAATTAAAAATGTATTTATAGTCAGTATTCTTGTGGTTTGTGGCAAATAATGTAAGTAAACTTCAGTATTATATTAATAAAGTTCATTATCCTCTTAATTATCAGACAAATTAAGCCATATTTCTGAAAATGAACCAGCAGCATTGTTATCATCCATGTTTAATTTATTGTGGATACTGTAGAGAGAAGAACTATAACATAATAAAATGGCCTAATTTGTCATCTAAGTGACAAACAGCATTTGTTTGCTTGTTAATTATCTATATACTTGCATAGATTCCACAGTCCCTGGCTGGAAGCACAAGTTGGAATCCAAAAGAGTTTATTTGTGTCTCAAATATGAATAAAAAAAATTACCATCTCACATTCACAGGCATGTTACATCCCAACATTTGAAATGCAATGCAGATTTGCATTGTATATTAACATAAAGCTGGCACAGCATTTTCGAAGAACTGTTTTGGAACCTTTACACTACATCAAATAATTTTTTTTTTCTTTTGCTCATCTGGGGAAATGTATACCATTATCCACCAAATAAAGACTTTTAAATACAAATAATTCATGTGAATCAACTTCATCCAAAAGCTGCTATATCCTAAAATTGTCTTTTTCTGCTAATAGTTTGATGTGTCAGCCATTCATTTGCACTCATAAAAGCTCTATTTCTCATTTCATTGAGGATAGCTCTGAATGTCCAAGGCTAAATTTGGAGTGTTGACTTTGATTCAGGCGCTGAGTGTGCCTGTTTTGTTGCCTTGTTGGCCTATACTGTTGAGTGGAGCTTGCTTGGATTTAAATGTACTAATCTACTTGGGCTGTGCATGTTCCAAATAACATCTCTCACATGTTTGGTTTAGTTCTGTCTGTCCTTCAGACAGAGAAGCTGAATGATCCATTTGGCATCTGCTGAGTTAGGTGGAATTGTGCAGAAATGCAATATCAAGACAACCATTGAATCAAAGGTAGTATATCCCTCTAAAAAAACGTGATTTGCTTTTACATCTCTCAGTGCAGGATTTCTCTTACCAAACACCAGTGAAAGCACTGAGAGTAGTTTTATTTCAGAAAAGATTGACCTAAAACTGAATCACTCACTCTGTTAGAAGCACTGGTGTTTGGCTCAAGACGCAAAATGTAGGAAGCAGGCGGATGTCTGGCACTTTCCCTAATGCTTCTTATGCTATTTTATATTGCTGTCCTCTGATTTTTCCTGCATAAAAAAGGAACCATAATAAACTTCCATAATGAAGAAAATTGTCCTGTTTGTTTACTGTTTGTCATGTATTACCATGCGATAACCAAAGTTTCTGTTAGTTTTTTTTTTTATTATTATTATTAATTACAAACCCACATATGGTCCTGTGCTAGCTATGCCTTGCTGAGTAACAGCTTTTGAATTTATAGATATGATGATTTTACAAAATTATTATAAACTCTCAGAAAAGCGAAAAAGGTACAAAAGCTGTCACTGGTGTGATACCCTTTTAAATTGTATTAAAATGTATTACGTAGGCACCGATATAAATGTAAGGTGTACCTTTTAAAGGGGTACCCCCATTAACATTTTTTTTTTACCAATGTTCCAGTTTGGCAAAAACTGCCATTATATAAAATTAACAGTAAATAGAAGAGTCTGTAAAATAATATTTTGTTAGAGATCTGGAAACTAAATTTTTTATGTTTATTTATTTTTATTTTTTGTTTGTTTGTTATCAGGTTTAGGTTAGTCTACTTCTTTTCACTGACACTTCATTGAAAATAAAATAAAAACGTACATAGATACTTATATAGATTGTACCCTGTTTGTGGAATATGACATTTAGTTTAAGGGTCATTTCAAATCAACAGAGAAATATCAGTTATTTTCCGAAAGTGCAGACCAAAGATTATCTTTGTATGTGAAATCTGGATGTTTTCAGTAAATGTTACTTGTAAGTTTTTCATATACATTCATCAAATCATGTATGGGTGACTGAGAGCTTATTAGATAATTACTAATCATTAGTCATTCCATAATCTTCTCTTCTAATTTTCTCTCAGTACATTATATCCACACTTCCTTCTTTCCTTACATCCCCCTTTCATCCTTCTCCTCATCTCTCTCTTCTCATCATCCTGTCCCTTGTGAGAGCACCTCTGTGTGGCTTTGCTGACGTACAAGTACAAGTGATTAGTCTAAGTTAGGCTGCAGAGACGTGGGGGAATATTTGATTCACAGAAGCTGCCCTCTTTACTGTGGAGTGTACAGAGGGTGTGCACCTGCGTCCCTCAGCTTTTTCACGTACACACACTTTCACACACACATATGTGTAGTGAGTACATATAAAGATGTGCACACACACAAACACATAAACTCACACACGTAAATATACAAATGTTTAGAAAAACGTAATAATTGTATTTATATTTATAACATTATGTAGCATTTTTTTCCTGTTTCTGAGTTTATGTAGATCATGAGTACCCTTTCAAAGGTTCACTCAATGTTGTGATAGGCTGCTTTTTAATGGACCTCTCCCCGATTCAGTGCAACAATGCCTTCAGAGAGCAGCATCTTTTTTCCCTTCTCAGGCAAGCGGGTCACGTACATAACCCTGAATGTATGTAAGCCCCAAAAGACTATACACAAGCACAAGCCTGTGGTTACAGGAATGAATCAGCCTAGAAGAACTTGGGATCCTGGGGCTGAATCCACTATAAAACCTAATGAACGAGTGCAGAGAGGACCAGCCTGCTGCAGCACACACATCCTGCATAAG